CCTTTGGCATAACAGAAGAGTAAATGACTTGCTTGCATTAACAACAGACAAACACCAGTATTTTTCTCAAGAGCCTACCACCAATAAAAAAAACCACATGCACAAAGATACACACACACATGTAATGTAAACGTATTTGTACAAACACACATATATGTGTATGCACACAAATGCATTCCTGCTTATTTATCAACCTTTATATACCTATTTGAATTATAGGCAGCTTATAATACAGGAGATAAAAATATATAATTATGGCATATGTTCATAAAACCAATAAATAATAAAGCCAGTAAAAGTTATAACCCTGCCACCCAAGTCTGTTGCCTATTATTTTTCCCTTTAGTATATTACTATTAGTACAAATAGGATCCAATTAGTTGTCCCTCCTCTGTGAGGTGACTCAGGCTCAAACCTCTTTCTCCTCTCCTGTATAACCTTTATATAAAACCACTGTAGGAGGCCGTTCAGTGACTTGGGGTGACATCAATGTGCTGATGATATACAGCTTTGATGATATCTAAGCCACTTGAGTGAAGCCTTGGAGATTCTATCCAGGGGCTTAAGTTCAGTGCCTAAGCAAAACAGGGACCCCTGGTTCTCAGGACCTTCCATTCTTTTATTCTGGATGCAGTGGCAGTGCCACAGGTAGACCTGATGGACAATATGGGAGATCTCCTGAACTCATGGTTCCAGATTAAAAAAAACAGGTGGAAGCTGTGGTTAGGGGGACTTTTGCACAGTTTAAACTGTGTGTCAATTGTACCCATTGACCGAAAACCCTGCTTACAATGTCCTTCATACACTTGCAAACTCTAGCTGGGGTACTGCAATGCACTCTACATGGGATTGCCTTTCAAGAGTATTCAGCTGGTGCAAAATGTGATGGTTCTTGGCACATGTGATACTACCCACTGTGAATTAGATTGGATTCTGGTGTGGCTGAGTTACTTAAGGGACTATCTCTTCTCAGTTGTTTCTACCCATCCTATCTGATCTGTATTATACACCTTTGCTTATGCATCTTCCCTATTGGTCCACCCACACCAGTGCAGATTGATTGATTGATTGATCTATCAATCAAAAGATGAAAGTATGCAGTATGCTCCATCCCATATTTGGCTAGACCTGGTTGCCATGATAGACCAGTCTCACTGGAAAAAAAACACTTAATCAGATGAATATATCTACAGTTTCTCTTCAGCTTACAACAATTAAAATATCCTTGACACATATAATATTCACTGTAAACAATAAGCTAAACTTTCCAAAGCAAATAATGCAACAAGAACACCATGCATCCTTTGACTCTAATAAATTAATGATGTTCCTAAATACAATACTGTAATTCTAAGGCAATATATAAATAGCATATAATTTGCCCGACCTAATAGCAGGACCCCAGTCAAGTACCAAATACATCTATCTATGGCTGGGATTTTATTGCTTTCTGGAAGTCAGTCAGAATGGGAGCTAATCCATACCCAAGATTCCATAATGTCAATGCTGTGATAGTAAAACATTGTCTCCTATCCTATATCCCTTTGCCTCATGGGATGGGAGCCTATTTGGAATTTCTTCTGTAATATACAGTCAGTTCGGGAGATGACAGTACTGGTGAGATAACTTGATGCCAAGCCTCACAGGGCTTTGCAGGTCAAAGACATGTTCCATTAAAAAGCAAAGAGAATTGTGCGAATCTGTCTAAACTTTGCAAGCAACACTTTACCTCCAAGGATATCAATTCTCTAAAGCAAATGTCTCATTTGGCAAGTCAAGCTGCCCCAGGCTTGCCAAGTTATTTTAAAATGAAAGAAATAAAATGCCACAGTTTCCTCTCCCTTTTCATGGCAACATTTATATAATAACATAAACATTAAATATTTGAAAATGTACCAACCTTTTATGACACGCCATTTCAGTTTACTGAGGCAGCCATCAGCGGCTGTTGTGGGCCAGCTTGACATTTCAATTCCAGTGTCATTTGTGAACATTAGGAATCAAAGGTGCTGATAAACTTGAGCCCAGTTATTCATATTGCCACAAAAATGAAGTGACTGGAAAAGTAAAACTCGGGTTCTCAAGTGAGCTGTCAAGGTGCCAACAGGGGATTATAGAATCATGGAATAATAGGCATATTATGTTTTGCACAGCAAATTATTTTCTTTATTCTGATTCTGTTGCCAAGGAAAATTACTGATACCATCATTAGCCTGCCTACCTATCCATCTGCATGCTTGAATCCTGAATAAATCCTGCCTGTCCCATATATCAGCTTGTAGTACAAAGAATGAGAACAGTAGTTTGGCCAAGGGGAGCTTAGTTACAGCGTTGAAATAAGATTTGAACCTAGATATATTCCTGACTTACATTCATATCTTAGCCTTTGTATTACATCTGTCCTTATAATATGCTCAGTTGTATCCAAGATTTTTGAGCAAATGTATTCAATTACTCTTCCACAAAATTCTCAAAATGAAGCTGCTATGATTGCCATTTTGAAGATGCCAAGAAATATGTGATGTAGCAAGCCCAAGAGAATTTTGTTTTCAGAAAATCAATTTTTAATTAATTCAGTGGAACTTAAGTGTCCCTGCAGCTGTGCGGGCACTGGATTTTAGCCTAAATAAGCAACTTGAACATTTTAAAATGGACATTGTATGCACAGTTCCATTAAATTCTGTAATGATTGTTTTGCATGCAATTATTATCCCCACGGACTAGAGGAATAAATTGTCTCAGAGACTCTGTCTTTCATCAATATAAATTAAAAGTTAGTCTTACATGTTTTATTGCTTCAACTAATTTCCATTAATCACCATAATGTCTACAGCTAGGCCAGTGCTGATTAACTGCAAGTCTAGCTTGTGAAGTAACTTTCAGAGTAGGGTTGTAAACTATTTTCAAGGATGACAAACATGTATAATTGCCAATTCCAGGACAGAATCCCCTGGCCTAAAAGTGCTTTTCCCCCACCTATTTTGCATTCAGAACACAACAGGAAGTCAAATGAAGCCTTAAAGAAGTTTGTTTTATATGGCCAGTGGGGAAGAACCATCCAATGTGGGAAATTCAAGATGTATGCCTGAAGCTTTAGGATCCAGAAATGTAAATGTATATCTTTGAAGGGAGAAATTTCCAAGAGTATTTAGAGAGCAGAATTAAAGATTAAAGAGATTTTCCTAAATCACCTGAATCAGTTCCTATTCTACATTTGCCTGCATTAAACGTTTATTAATTAAATTACATTAGATTAAAATCTTGCATTACAAAAATGTCCCAGGCTACAGAAATCATGATTCCCACATTACACCTGTCAGAATTTTAGATTCCTGTAGAGAGGTCAGAATGGTCAAAAGTTATTTTGTACAGAATCTTTATTACATGTATACTAAGTATACTATAAATCAGGTTTATGAGATTTATTTGTAAATGTGACAATATTCTTTTAAAAAAAGAGGTGTTGCATGTAAAATTCAAGTATTATAAACAGGTAAAGGGTTTCTTATTTTTATGCAGGATAAAAATTAAACATAGGTAGTTATTTATTTCTCCATTTTATATTCTATCGTTCAATCTATGTGGTTGCTAGGGATCAAAAACAACTTGATGGCAACTACTATTTCTGATAGGTAATAGTCATAAAAATATAGAATGCATACATTGCCCTAGTAAAAAAGATGAATGTTGGCTAGTTTTTCTAAAGTTGGACAGTGAAGATTAAAGATAGTTGCCAAGAGAATATAATCCACAGCCATATTTTTGATAAGTATGGAAAGTGGAGGCATTTTACAGGCATCCTATAAGGAACCAAAAAAGCCATAACTCTTATTTGTGATCCATTTTTTCTTTTTCTTCAGATTAAAGTTAGAGAAGTTAAAGCACTGAATTGCATGTCCTAGTGGTTTTATCCTTTGAATTTATATTTAAATTGCTAAGAATTTTTCACCTCACTGTAAATTCTTCCAGATGCAGAACTACAATGAGAAATTTTAAACTGTGTTTTATATTCTCTGGAAAAAAAATGCTCTCATCAATGTCATGGCTCTGTTATAATAGAAAATCAACCTATAGTGGCACGGAATATTGTGAACTTGTTTTAATTTGTAGAACAAAGAAAAATAATTTAAAATAAGTTGACAAGACCTCCAGCAATTATGAAGCATTGACAGAAGAAATGTTTGAGAACATCTGACATACAATTTGTAACAAATGTTGGACCCCCTATCTGGACATTCCAATACTTTGCCTAATTAGAGTCCTCTAACAACGAGAGGATTAAAAATACCACATTGGTCCCCTGCCTCCATGTTAATGATCACATTACTGTCTTCACTGATGTCTAGGACGTGAAGGATGAACATCTGCAATAGTTATACGTAGTCTGATGTACTTATATAAATCCTTAAATATAGACCTATTCATGTAAGGGATTTTAAAAACCTTGAAGCATAGACCTGCCATCAGAAATGAAATCTTGAGGTCACATTCTCTGTAGATATAGTAAGTCATGAGACATGTTGGCATGACATGCTGAGCTGCTATACAGCTTAGAGATACACTTGTTCTGCTAATGCTTTGTTTGTGCCTGTTGGCGCCTTCTTTCAGTGGCAGAAACTGCCCAGATACTAACCTACCCATCATGCTCGATTCATACATAAGAATGCTAATTCTAATCGCTGTAGAAAATATAGCTATAGTTTGACAGCAGACTAATGCTTACAGTGGCTAAAACTAGCATGCGTTTTGCATTTACATGGAAGTGGAGGTTGTAACTGGTTGATTGGAAGTGAGAATAGGTTTGCAAGGCTGCTAGCAACTTCCTCTTATTGGTGCAATTAGTTTTTAGAATCAACTGTTGTGTTAGGGTGGCAAGACAGACGGAATCTCTATCTTTATTGCAACCATAGGCTTGTTTAGGATTCCTCACTCTTCTAAGGAGAAACAATGGAGTTACTTTTCTGAATAGCTGTTGTGATACTTTCCCTATATTTTTCAAGGATGAAATCACAGTATATTCATTTGGTGTTAGATACCCCATGTACAGAATATAATGAGATGAAAGGGATAACATCTTGTGATATCTGGGATTCATTTAAGCTTGTGGAAAGTAATGGAATGGACAGGATTCATTGCAATATGAATGCTATTGACTGTGATTTTGAGTCATCCTCCTCCAAGTTCCTTTGTACAGTGAGTAAATTGTGAATTGCTCAATTCAAAAAGTGAGTGGCTGACCAAAATAGCATCATACCCAGTCATGAACAAGGTAGCAGTGCAGTTCTTTTGAAAAACTATATCTTGTTCCAGCCTTTGAAAACTATCACCCTGTCTCCAGCTGCTTCTTTTTTTATGGTTACAGAAAATATGGTGGGAACTCAGCTACAGATCTAGCTGTCTTTCAGTCTAGATTCTGAACTGGTCATGTTCTGGTGAATGACCTAATTTGGTATCTTATGCATGGGATTGTATCCCTCCTGGCCATAACTGACCTCTCAGCTACTTTTGATACTATCAGCTATAGTATTTATTGGACTACCTATTGAGATTGTGAGTTAAAGGCAATGTTTTGCAATGGTCCCACTGTTATTTATGAGAGCTAGCTCTGGTGATGATAAGAAATATACTAGTCATTTCCAAACAAATCAATATATTCACTCAGTTTTATAAAAGAGACAAAACTCTTCCTCACCAAAAAATACATTTAAGAAGTAAATATAAATGTTGCCACATTAAATTACCTTAGCAGCCTATTTGAAATTAAGTACTTGCTGGAATTATTGTACTGCTAACACTTTTAAAATAAATGATATTAATCAGGGTTCTGAAAGATATGATCTTTGGATGAATTCTTTCTAGCTGGAGCCTCTAAAAGACAAAACTGGCATTATCTTACCTTAAATAAAGGAGAGGGAGAAATGGCTGAAGTGGTGATCTGCAGGTTGGAATATCAGAGGACTCAGCTGTAACCCCAATCTTCTTTTAACATAAGATTAAAGCACTCAGTAAATTCATATACCAGTTTGGGGTGAGGCGCAATCCTAAGATATGTGGAAAATCAACTTCTATTTCAATGTCTGGAGATATAATGGAATGTGTGCATGACCCTGGCAGTGGTGGGTTCCAAATCCCATTGCAATCAGTACGGTGCAATGGGGCCTGGCGTCCACCACATAAACACGTGCAGCATGCATGCACATACATGTAGTGCGCTTATGTGTCCTACCCTTCATCGATGCCTCCGTGAGCCTCCGCAACACTCCAGCTGTTCGGCGGAGCATTGCGCAGGCGCCGTATGCACCGTGCACAGAAGCACTGAAGAGTTCAAATACAGGTAAGGACGATGGGCGGGCAGGTGGGCCCTCTGGAGCACTGTACCGGAAGGTACCGGGTGCTCCGGGCAGGCACCGGTATGCCTGTACTGGGGCATACCGCCTGCAACCCACCACTGGACCCTGGGGAATGAGGAGAAGAGATGTTGCTTAAGAAACAATCAGACAAAAATGGAAGAAGCCCTCTAAACAGTCAGAGAAAGTAATTCAGGAATGCCCTAATGGCTCTAGCAGTTAAAAGTGGTGGTGGGAAGTTTGCATTTTTTTAAACTTGCAAATTCTGTTAATGCAGCCTTATCATAATGTAAAATCTGTTCATCTAGTCATTTTTCCTGTCTGGTTTTCCTGGCTAACAGGAGGCCATGAGAGTCTGGAGAAATATGTTCGGACTCAGTCCAGGAAAACAGAGATATTCTTAGTGAACAAATATTATGCTGCCATTAGACTTCTGGGTTTAGCTCTGGATGGAGTTGTTCTTTCCTCAAAAATACCTACAACTTGGAGGTCTTGTTAGACTTGTGGCTTCTGCTGGAACATCAAATGGAAACCATAGTGACAGGGCCCTTCACTAGGACTTCTGCATTAATTATAGTTTGTCTGAATGGGCAACCTTGGTACCTTTGGTAACGATAACTCAAATCCTCATTACCACCATTCAGATTATCATAATATGATCTGCATATCTTGGCTACCTTTGAAAATAATCTGAAAGATTCAGAGGGTCCAAAGCGCACTGGCCAGGTTGCTGGTGGGTGAGAGATGCTAAGCAAGTATTGCAAGTATTTTCTGGAATGGGATGGCCTCCCCTCTATTGGAACAGCCTGCCCCCAAATATGAAGTTAGTTCTTATCCTCATGGTCTTGAGAAGCTTGTAAAAATCCTCCCTTGTTGCTTTTGTATGCACCAAAAAGTGGCAGGAATAATTTCATATAATTGGTATTAATTGCATTAATCAATACTTACAGTATTATACTGTTTCATTAATTAGAGTCTATATATCATCTAAAATCCTTTGACTGAGGTAATAAATCCACAAATAAGTAAATAAATTAATCCTGACAGCAGTATGTCCATGTTTTCCTATCCCATATTGGTAAAAATCTGCCATCCAAATGCTTTATTATAATTTACAATAGATAAACAATTGTTTATATAGTAGAAAATGTGGTCAAACATTTTATGGTTTGGGGGCAGAAAGATAATATGTAGCTCTAACTGTTTGTACAATTACACCATCCCTCCTTTCACTACAGTAGCAAATCATTTTATCTCAGATAGTCTTCAAGTTACAACCATTCATTATCAATTGTTCAAAGTTACAACATCCCTGAAAAAACACATACAAGCCTTCTATAATAAAGCACAGTACAGAGTTCAGTAGAAATGTCTTTTTTCTTGGTACATTTGGGAAAAATTCTCAAGGACAGAAACATTTTTTTTTCCATCTTGAAGAGATGATCCTATTTGTATTCAGAATATTTCAACTTGGATGATTAAACAAAACCCATAGAAATATAAAATTTGGGTACATAAAGTACAAAGAGGAAAATTGTACTGCAGCAATGGATGTTGTTTTGTGTGGCCTTTCACATATAATTGTACTGCAACTTCAATCATGTATCACCAATGACTGGATTGCTCAGGCTGATGGGACCTCAAAGTGCCACGTATAGAAGAGAGAAGGAGAAGGAGAAAGTGCTTCTTTACAGATGGTAAAATGATTTTTGCTAGTAGGAAATTGGTTTCTGTGCTGTTTGTGTGGCTATCAGGGTGTATCAGCAAGATTTTGCTCTTAGGTGCAGGTAACCACTATCAATAGACTCTAGCAGCACAGTAAATCTTGTTTGCCAACAGTGACTCCTACATGGCAGTTTTGATTTTGGCCCACAATCAAGAGCATTTGGCAAGCTATGATGTGATTAGTCATTTAAGGGGATCAGAGTGGAAATAAGGCTTGCCAGTATTGTTTTTTTTTTACTTCCCAGCACCCTCTCTTGGTCTGTATATGTATCTACAGATTTGCAGTTCCAGAATGTGTTATACATTTCCTCATTTCCATAGCTGACAAGCATGGCTTATGTGCAGAAAATGTCCAACACTGATGATGATGATGATGCATAATATGATGACAATGATATGTACACCTGACCATTCTGCATATTAAAAAAAATACTAAGGCTTAATTCAGAAATGTTCACATGCAGAAATACATAATAGAGAAGCTGGTTCAGACAATTATCATGTGTAGTCCAACTCGTGCAGAGGTCTTCTTGTTTCTGCTCTACATATATAGATATCAGGGCATAAGACTAATTTCTGTAGAGCAGAAATAATAAGACCTCTGCATGAGTTGGACTATACATGATAATGATTACACAGAATCTTTTACATATGAACCTACAGGTTCTTTTCTCCGAGGAAGTTCACACTGTGTATTCTAGGATAGGATAGGGACTGGTCACTGTAGTCAAGGCAGGGTGAAGTTTCTTTTAGTGGTGTCCTACTCTTATCTAATGCAGTGTTCCTCAACCTTGGCAACTTGAAGATGGGTGGACTTCAAGTCACCAAGCTTGAGAAACACTAATTTAATGCATTATTTCAATGTATAACCAGCATAACTGGTGAGAACTTGAAATAAGGAAACTAATTACTACATCAATGGATAACATTGAAACTATTCATGCCAATAGTCGTGATAGCATATTTTCCCAGTGCCTTTAATATTTACCGAGTTTGTACAATTATATAATAATACATACATACATACACATATATAGAAACATACATGTACAAATACAGTAGCTTGGCTATATAATACACAAACCTGAATTCTTCCAGTAATTAATGACATACCAATAGCTAGTGACAATTATACTGTTTTTCTAGTCCCATTATATAATTGTCAGGCATTCTGCGGTAAATCAGACAGGAAACATGACTAATTCTACCTTATTGTAAGGTTACATTAACAGAATCTTGCAAGTCTGAAGGTACAAACTTACCACCACCACTTTTAACTTCCTGATCAATGGCTATTAATCCATTGGGGCTCCTGCCTGTCAGATTGCTTCCTAGGCAGCAGCATCCCTCATCCAGCAGCCTGTAAAAAGAAAACTTAGCATATGAAAGGTCAAGCAGATTGGTTTGGCAATTCTAGAGGACCATTTAGTGTCAAATATGTTTTCTTCAATATTCCAGTCTAAACTGGGATCTTCTGGTAGTTACTGCTCCAAGTGCTAACTAGGGCTGTTTATCTTTTTCTCAAGAACATCCAGAATTGGCCAATTGCTGTGTGTGGAGTATAGAGTCCAATCTCTTGTTTCAGAGATAAGAACAGAGGTGGTATTTTAGCCAGTTCTGACAGGCTCTGGAGAACCAGTAGTGGAAATTTTGAGTAGTTTGGAGAACCAGCAAATAGGCTAGTCTCGTCCCCACTGCCTCACAGCTGATCTTCTTTTGTTGCCCTGAACAAAGGTTTACAGTGGGAAGTAAAAAGAAGCAAGGATTGGCATATTGTCATCTTATTTTCTTATGTTTTCCTTGGGATTTTTTGATAAAGAATTAATGGGCCGCTTAATGCATATTTTACTACTAAAAACAACTCATGTTCCTGTTCTTTTGTAAATTCTTTTTCTTGGTGCTTGGCAACTATTGGTTTATTTTTAAAAAATCTTTTTTTGAGTGGCACAAAGATAAATTGACCTTCATGGAAGAGACAGTCTGTCATTTGAATCTTACCTTGCACACACATGAATAAATTTCCATATGGGGTTATTAGTCTTCATACACATGGTGGGACTGCATTTAATGAAACTGCCAAATGATTAAATTATTTAGAGTTAAGAGAACCAAGTGCCAGCTAACTCAATAAAAGACATTTTGATTTCCTGGTTTGTATCATGTCTTTATCTCTAAACTGAATGTTATACCACACTTATTTACAATAAGAATATTTTTAGCTATGAAGCTTATCTCTTGGGGCAGTCTCAGTGCCTTAAAAGTGACAAGGATATGAAAGTCCAGACACACAGACAAAAATATCCATCAAATATAAACCATCCCAAAATGCCATTTTTTACAATAAAAATTGAGGGGGAAGGAAACAGATTTTCCTGAAAATAAAATGTCCCCAGAAGTATAAATTCTAAATTTTAGAACTATTTCTGATTCATTTCATATAGTTTCTAATGCTATGCTGAAATCATTCTCTAATTTCTTCTCTGAAAAAGACTTTTCTACTTTGAAAGTAATTTATTTATTTGTTTGTTTTCAAGATTTATAAGGCTACCCAACTCAAACAATGACACTGTGGGCATTATTTGGCCTGTTTTGGCGTCCTCAGATTGTCTGCCCAACCTAATTGTTTAAAATGATTTTAGATTCTTTTAATATTTTTTTTAAGGCAGCTGGAAAAAAGGAACACAATGTGAGAACCTGGAATATCCTTTTGATTTCTCATAATGTCTTGATATCATATAAGAGCAAAGAGCACTTGTACAGCTTAGAAATTGTGAGTGGCTACCTCTTTGAAAGAGTGTCCAATCCAGAGTGAGTAGGTGAATTTTTAGGCAGGTGTGTCAAACTCAAGGCCCGTGGGACAGATCTGGCACACGGGATGCTTAGATCTGGCCCACAGGGTCACTGTAGAAACAGCAAAGAACCAGCCCATGGTGCCTCTGTCAGCATGTGGTCCTCACGAGCTCTGTTTTTGCTGGCAGAAGGTTGCAAGAGGCCTGCGTAGCTGAAAATGGAGCTTGGGAGCACCCTTTTACTGGCAGAGTGCTTGGGCCAACACAGGTGCTCCAGAAACAAGTGAGGTCAAGCTGGCCACGCCCCCCTGGATACTTTGACTCTGCCACCCCTCCAAGGTCAAACACAACCTTGATGCGGCTCTCAATTCAATTACGTTTGACATCCCTACTATAGAAAAACTAAAAGGGAGGTAGAAATTTGCATTATGATAAATAATTTGTGACTGGCTAAGATCATCATAGCAATTTTATTTTAGAAATGAGAAAATGTCACATCCACCCCCGACCTCCACTCCCCTTTGAGAAATTTTGTGAGAATATCTATCTATGCTCAAAATAGTACAGTTCAATCATGGACCCTGAAAGTTTAGTGATGTCCAAACTTAATAATAATAATACAAATTGAGATATGATGGAACTTTCTTCTTTTCTTTTGCTCTGGTAGGGAGTCATTCCAATCGCAGTCATTGGATGAAGGGAAAGGTGTTCCTAATTCTTCTGTTCTGTCACACCCCTCTTTTTTTTTAAAAAAATTGTTATTACAAAACGTTATTATATTTTGAAGTGGACTTTAGGCTTATCCTGAATTCAAGGACAGGATCATGCATCATGCTATGCTAGTAATTCAACCGTAGCTTGTTGACAGGGTCACAATAGGGTGAATTACATATGATTTATGGTTCTGGTAAGTTCAAGTCACGCAAGTTATATTATAACTTAGCATGTTGTTTGAACCTGGAAAGACACTAGCCACAGAAGCAAGCAAACAAATCCTAATGAAAAGTGGGTTTACTAAGTAGTGTCTGGGTCTGTACTAAGTTAGAAGCCAGAGGGGGGAGGTCCATTTTAAGACTGGGATGTGGAGGGTATTGCTCAAAAGAGAGGAAAGGCAGACATGAAAAGGAGCTTGAAATATCTGTCTCTGCCTTTCATGGGCAAACCGTATTTTTAGCCTGCCTTTTATCTTTCCCCTGTCCAGAGAAATAAATACACCATTTCTACCACTGGTAAAATCTTTCCTTTATGAAAATGTTCTTTCAGAACAATTAAGGTGGCTATACATACATCTTTTAATGGGCATGTTCAAGACCCTGTTATTCTGGCAGGGTTTCAGTATATGTCAATCAGACCAGTAATTGTTATTGTTGTGGAATTGGCTGCTTTTATTAATAAGCGCTATGATTATTATTGCTAGAAATTGCCTTAGAGGCCCTTTTTGAATCTTCCATGGGTGGCTTAGAAATCTTATAAATAAATAAATCTCTAAAGTAAAATGTATCAAAACCAGAATTATTTTATTTACACATAATCCATCCGATAGTTCTGACAAATTTAGTACTGTAGTCTATTATATCCTTCCCAAAGATCTATGATATCTAAAGATGCAGTTGCAGTATATGTACTATTGTAATGAGTTGAGATTTCTATGGCATTCGAATGTTTTTCCAGATGTTTTAAAAGTGTCCAAGTGTCCCAGCTACTATTATTCTATGATTTTCCTTTTCAACATTCTTTCAGTTTTTATTTATAAGTCCCATAGGTTCTTAACTCTTCATTCTTGACTATTTTTTCAATATTCCACCAATAACATCCCTTCTTCTTCCTCCTCTTCTTTATTAAAAAAAACCAACATTGCATTGTCAGAGTCTATTTGTTGTAGTAGTTAAGGGCATTAGGCTAAAAACTGGGAGACTGACCTTGGGCGAGTCATTCTCTCTGAGCCCTAGGAAGGAAGGAACAGTCACTATTGAAATATTTGCCAAGAAAACTGCAGGAATCTGTCCAGGCAGTCGTCAGGATCAAAAACTGACTCAAAGATACAGGTGTACACTCCCACACATCTTGGAGTAATATATACCTTCAAAATGACATGTGTACAGAATTTGAAACAGTGACGAGGAGTTTGTGAGCTGTGGGTTACCATCTGTGCTCTGCTTTGCTGCCATCTGTCCACAGGCAGAATATCAACCTTAGGAGAAAATAGCAGGATATCCTGCAATTATTGGGCCACATAATCACCAGTTATACACAAACAGTTTCTGGAAGCTGTACTGAAATCTCACTTTTTTTATACTGTCACTTGATAAAAAGCAAGGGAAATAGAAGTAGTGATAGTGAAGAGTATAACCTTTGAAATTGTTCTGTGGAACAAATTCTTTGGTGAACCGTGTTAAGGGGAAAAGAGGGCAGCATTTAGACATATAATACTGTAAGTGGTTGGTGAAGGCTGAAGTTGGTAATTTTATGACATTCACACTGATGTGAGTATTTAAAAATAAGATTTGTTCCTAGCAAACTGGCACACAAATCTGTGCTTTTCTGGCTAACTTTGTGCTGAGCAACAGGTAAAGTTCCAATTCTATGACATTTTATTTGCAGGGCTAACTACTCTGTGTGAAGAAGCATCTGATTTTTTTTTAACTTAAGATGTTGAAAGTAAGTCAGTTGTCAGGCAGCTTGAGAACAAAAGACAAAAGTAATGTCTGTCGCACCTAACTGTGTGATGTGCTTTTTTTCCAGTCCAGAATAACAGGTTGGAATGAAATTATAGAAATTATAGTCCTAACGTTTGGAGGACAATAACAAGAGAAAGCTGAATCAGGTAGATCTATTTGTTAGACAAAGACAGATAAAGGAGGCAGGTTTTACTTTTCTACATCAAACGGAGCTTTAGATCAGTAAAATCAACTGGTCGTCACTGACCCACCTACCTACCAACCTGCCTATGTCTGTCTATCTGTCTGACTACTATCTATCTATTACATATGTTCACTGTAGAAGGATTACTTAAGTTATGAAGGGTGAAAGTAGGCTAAAGGAAAATAAATGTGTCTTTTTTAATGCTGATTTTTTTTTTAAAAAAATGACAAAATTGTAAACTTACACCTAGGGATGTTTCTGCATGACTGAGCATTTGCGGAGACACCTATAAATTAGACACATAGTTGGTATTTCCTTCGAAAGCATTGCTAAAAGTTGCATGCCAAAACTGGGGGTCAGTTTTAGCGAGTGGCTTTCAGGGATAGGTTTTTTTTTAAAGCTCGATCCATTTGCTCCTGAACTCTTCCAGCAGTTTCCAGCTCATGGGTTAGATGGACTTAGTTAGATAGTCATGTATCCCACCTTAAATTGATGGTAGTTGCAAAGTGTCTAAAATGTATGACGTTTTGTCATTCATTACAACATAAGCACTGTCAGTTGTGGATAGGATCAGAGCAATACTTATTAGCTGTTTTAGGCCGATGTGTTCATAGCAGCCTCCCCTCCACTTATTGTTGTCTTCTGCCATTCTGCACTGGTCTCTGTACCAGTATTGCCACTACACTACTTGACCAATTGTATTATATTGTAAGTGTTTTAATGCTGCCTTTCTCTAGTATAGCCCAAGACTGAAAGAGCAGAAGAGTGGAATAAGGAGATCAACCCAGGGCATTGTCTCCCAAACAGCTGCATGCAAATAGGAGGTGATAAAATGTGGCCATCAACACAGTAGAAAGAATCATGTATTTTCATAGAATTGGTGCTCTAAAAATATGAAGTTTAAAAACCAATCAACTCATCAGAACAGTTCATTAGATGTAAGCATCCCAAATCTTGTTCAATGGTAGTCACACTAGTTGAGATATTTATCCTGACAGTAATACTCATTGGTTACGTTCATATGGAATACCAATTGAAAAAAGGAATGAAATGACAAATGGCCTTTTAGCATGCTGCCTTGTTAGTATATTATTTCTCTTGGTGGTTAAAAATAAAGCATAATAAAATTGTGTTTAAATCCATAGAGATAAAAATAATTAAAAATGGCAGTATAATCCAGGTAAAATGAATAGTTCTAACCCTATTTTCAAAGATATGTTAATAGAACATTTTGAAAAGCAAAGAAAAGTTTGATCCCATATTTCAGCAGAGAATATATTTCAAGGGTTAGCTGGAGTCAGCAGGGACTTCTTTGTGGACAAACCTCCTCAGACTTTCTTGTGGGGTGGGGAGATCCTTTAGAAAGCTTCTTGGACGAGAAGCGAAGCGTCTTCAAAGAAAAACCAGAAAATCCATTTGCCTCTTGAAAAAGCACCTTTAGAAAGAGATGTTCTTTCAAGTCAAGTGGTTGAAGCTAAGCCATATAAGGCTTTTAAAGGATGGATAATCAGCACATTTTATTTTGTATTTCACCAGGAAATAAATTGACTGCCAGTAAAGCATTTTTTGCACAGTTGTAATATCAGCTCTGAGTTTTTCCAGAGACCTGGCTGGCTGTTGCGTTCTGAGGCAGCTGAAGTTCCTGGATTAAACAGATAGATAGCCCTGTATAAAGACTGTCTCAGTAGTCACACCCATAAATTAATAGTGTTGGTATCATAGAATATTAAAAATATTTTCTTCAGGAAGGGATGCAATTGATGCAAGGCACTTCTGAGTTTTTACTTTGGGAAACCAGAGAAAGATTGGATCTGTATCTATCCCTTCCAGCTTGAATGATGACTCTATTCAGATTAAGATCTACCATCTCACAAAGTGTGATGCTTCCACAAATATGAAAGTTAAACTGGTGTGCGTGTTTGTGTGCGCGTTATGCTGTGTGTATGTGTGTGTGTGTGTGTGTGTGTGTATGTGTGTGTGTGTGTGTGTG